CAATAATGCGTATGTGCCGATGTATTTTTTAATGAATGTCGTACATGTATGACCGTTCATAAATGTAAAATTCCAAAATTGAAAAAGAAAGTGAATTAGTTGCACTGGCTTAAACCATAGGAACTTGAAAGCATACAAACATTTGCGTTGTATAACCACAGTCATAAATGGAGTATACAGAGATATGGTCTGCCATTCATGAAATAAATATTTTTCTCTCTCTCTATTTTCCACGAAAATGTCACGCTTTGGGATACGGTGAAGGTGCTGGCCATGTGTCTGAGTTTAAATAAATATTTAGCCTGGCGTTCTCCTTACAAGTTTCAGAAAATATTTTTGTTAAGCTTGTATTCCTTTAAGTGGGTTTAAGAAAATAAACTATTTTGGGTTCCGTTCTCTTAGCGTGTTTAAAAAAAGTTAATTATCTAAGCTTGCGTCCTCTCAGCGTGAGCTTAGTCAGGTTAGTTCTCTTAACGTTATATATTATTTAGCACCTTTCGCGGCCTTGTAAAGCTAAGAAAAAGAAAGGGACATTAATCTTAATTAGGAGCGTGCGCTGACATTGGCACGCACCCACACACACACACACACACACACACACACACACACACACACACACACACACACACACACACACACGCGCGCGCACACACAAATGGAAGCATACACCTCTCAATTCGCATTTATCCGTAATATACATTTTTTACAATGTATAACGGTGGCGCAAGTGACTCAAGCTACGGCAGCCTCAACTAAATGAATTCAAAGAGGCCTTATGAATCCAAAATGCCAGTGCTGTCAAGGCGTTTGTCCTCATGAATACAGATGGGCTTGGTGTTTCTGGCCTGGCATGACGAACGGCAATCTATATGAATCAAAATAAAGAGTCAGTTTTAAGTTTTATTTTTGCTTATATGAATCATGGTAAAGAGTCGGTTTTAAGTTTTATTTTTGCTTATATGAATCATGGTAGAGTCAGTTTTAGTTTTAGTTTTGCTTAGATGAATCATTGTAAAGAGTCAGTTTTAAGTTTTATTTTTGCTTAGATGAATCATTGTAAAGAGTCAGTTTTAAGTTTTATTTTTGCTTATATGAATCATGGTAAAGAGTCAGTTTTAAGTTTTATTTTTGATTATTTGAATTATGGTAAAGAGTCGGTTTTAAGTTTTATTTTTGCTTTATTGTGCTCATTTTTATATATCTTTTATTAGTGTTTTTGTGCTTACGTAAGGCTTTCTTTGGGCTGACTGCCCTTAGTCCTGGATTCTTTGTCTCGGTAGGGATGTGAGTCTATTTGCTTCTCTCTCTATCCATTTGTCTGTGTCTCTCTCTCTATCTATCATTTTCTATCAGTTTGTTGGTCACTCTCTATCTATATGACTGTCTATCTATTTATCTGTCTATCTCTCTGATTTTCTCTCGCTCTCTCGCTCTCTTACTCACTCTCTCTAGCTTTATCTATCTATTTATCACTCGCTTTCTCATTCAATCTATCTATCTATCTATATGTATATATTATACATACACACACACACACACATACACACATATGTATATATATATATGTATGTGTATATATATATATATATATATATATATATATATATATATATATATATGCATGTATGTATGTGTGTGTGTGTGTGTAGATATAGATATGTGTGTTTATCTATTTTTTCATTTATTCATTTAATTATTCATTTTCATATTAACGCCACCAGATAGTTCCCCACTTCCACCCCCCTCACCCCCCACCCCCTCATTCCGGTAGCCAAGGCGGAACTGCTTCTTGTTGTATTATTGATCGACTGAAATTGATCAGCTGAAATGTCGAGAGTTCAGTATTAAGACGAAGAGGGGATGAAGTGGAGATGGATTAAGGGAAGAAGAAGAAGAAGGAGAAGAATGATAAAGAGTAGATATAAGAGGAGTGATAGGATGTGGATGTGATCGATGTTTGAGTTCGTGAAATTTGTATGTACACGTGTGGGGGACAACCAGGTCTGCGTGCGGTTTGATCTTTCTTTCTCTCTCTCTCTCTCTCTCTCTCTCTCTCTCTCTCTCTCTCTCTCTCTCTCTCTCTCTCTCTTTTTTTCTTATTCTTCTTCCTCTTCCGTGCTCTTTTTCTTTTTCTTTTCTCTGTCTATGTCAGTCTGTCTGTTTCTCTCTCTCCCTCTCTCTCTCTCTCTCTCTCTCTCTCTCTCTCTCTCTCTCTCTCTCTCTCTCTCTCTCTCTCTCTCTCTCTCTCTCTCCCTCTCTCTCTCTCTCACACACACACACACATACACACACACACTCAAGTAATCTCAAATTCTGAGTGATAATGACAAAATAAGGGCTGAGCAGCTGAAAAAATATTGGTATTTTTTAATGTACACTAAGAGTGAATATTATTTTTTTCTCTCTCTTTTTTCAGGCAAGTTCAAAATTTTGCCTGACGTGATGGAATCCACGATGCCTGCGGTTCAAAAGCATTCCTTCGCAGCCAAGAATTTACCTGGACAAGCGTGGTAAAAAACTTTTTATCTCATAAGTAAAAAAAAAAATTAAATACGAAACAAAAACTGTGTTATATCTATATCTCTTATATTAACATGTTTCATCTATTGACTCAAACAAATATAAAGAAAGAAAGAAAAAAAAATCTCTACAAATAAAAAATCTATTCACTTTATCATAATCTATGTTTACTCTGCATGTACCATATATCGTGCCATATATATATATCTCAAATCTGTTATACATTGGGCCGTCATATATATATTATATAAAAAATAGGCTTATTATATATCATATGAATGTATATTTGTTGCTTAATATAACCAGCAGGTATTACGTACAATATAGCCACCCATGTAAGTATATTTCTGTCTGTAAGTTCGTGTGTATATACGTATTAGGTCGAGGTAAGGTTTAAGGGGTATCGGTTCAAATAAGGTCATTGGTTTGGGTATTTAAAGTATCGAAGGTCTGAAGGCTTTTAATGGAGTTTGTGAACTTTTATCAATTGCTTGTATGATATCAAGTGGGATGGAATGTTAAGGATGTTGTTATATAGAACATTGTGTCTGTATCCACAGATTTCCCTCTCTGTATATTTATATATTTATCATTAACACAACCCTTTCTGTTCTAAACCATTATATATATATATATATATATATATATATATATATATATATATATATATATATATATATATAGACATGTATGTATGTATATATGTGTATATGTACATATATATGTATTTATGTGAATATATGTGTGTATGTATACATACATACATACATAAAAAGATACACACTCATATATATAGATATATAGACTTATATACATATATATATACATTGTTACGCGTTTTCCAACTTTTAGCACCAATTTTGCCTTGATATTAAATTATAGTTGTGAAAAAATACAATACATTAATTATTCAGGAAATGCTGCCGACCCCTGGTGAAGATCGTACAAATGTCAATAGACTGAAATAACTATTGCGTAACTCCATGTACAAAAATGCACATTGACTCGTCTGTTAGTTAATCATGAACAGTGAACAGCACTTTGTTAATCAACTATAGTCGTCCACTTTCACTGCAATATTAGGTAGATTGACAACTCTGTGATATTAAAAGATTTTACTTTATTGGGCTTTAAGTTGCTTTATCATATCCCATTATGTTTTTATCTCTATATGTATGTGGAATATATATTTTTTAAGCGTACATTTATTTTGGGGTTGGCGAGTCTAAATGTAAATTATCGTACTTCGGCATCAAGTGGTAAACAACGCGTCCGATTTCGAGAAACGTGTTCGCGTTGATGAATATTTCTATGTCATATGAAAATAAAAACTGCGTTTCACGAATTCGGACGTATTATTTACGACTAAGTTGCCAGAGCACGATAATCAAGCTTTCTTTACTCCCGGGCCGAAAGTACTATTAAGATTTTTTTTCTAACTGTTTTGTTGTTGTTGCTTTTCCTTTGATAGTGATTTTGTTATCGATACATTCTGATGGTGTAATTTCGTGTATTATTTCTTTATGATTAGTTATTTTCCTGTGAACTGTTGAAACGGAATTTTATTATTGATAGATTCTCAGACTTAATTTTCACGTTTTCTTTGGCTTTCATTTATTTTCCCATGATTCTGAAGGTGTTGAATATTATTTATGTAACTTTTTATGCAAAAGTCTGGATCAAAATTATCTCATCGTTGCTGTTAACTCATATAATTTCTTACAAAAAATAACTTCCAATTTTAACTTTGTTGTTAATGTATTATTCATCAATGCAGCAGCAATATTTTTATTATTATTATTATCATTTATGATTTTAATGAATTATTATGAATTTAAATTGTCATCATTATTAGCCACTTTTTTTCTTTGTATTTTCTTTGTGGTTTTTATTTATTGTTAGAGTTGTTTTCATATTAATAATCATTACGATGTACATCAATATAATAACTATGATAATCATCAGCAAAACATTATATAGAATCATTTTCAAAAAACATATTGTTAAGTATATACATATCCAAAATAATAAAAAATAATTATTTAATACAAACCACTTTCTATTACGCATTATTAAACACCAAATGGATAATAAAACAACAAATTATCTTTACATATAATACGATATATGAATGATTATACAAAATAACAAAACGGATGGCTTAAGGTACAAAAACATAACACAGAGTAGCTGATATTTTGAACAAATGAACAGTCAGTAATACGGTTATATAATGCCCAGATTAATAATACTTTCAAAAGGAAATTCCTGATTGTATTATTAAAATGTCGATGAACAATAATTAAAGGGGGCAAATGTTTTTTGTTTGTTTGTTTGCTTGTTTGACTGTAATATATTTCTTAGGTGAAAGAGGTTATAGGTATATTATATGTACACATGTATAGTGTGTATATGTGTTTATATATATATATATATATATATATATATATATATATATATATATATATATAGTTTATATATATATATAAAGTTTTTTTTCAGGAATATCTTACATTTCCTAATTTTCATATATACCTTACATATCTCATATCAACTGCATAATTCAAAGATCCGCTTGCAAAGGCAACCATCATAATAATAACAGATAACAATAAACCATAATAATCATGATAAAAACAAAGATAAGAAATAATAATAATAATAATAATAATAATAATAATAATGAAACATCGGTAATATCAGCGTTACCAACAACAGTCCCCCTTTCCTGACTGTGGGCATATCGGCTACTGACACGTTTTAATCTTTCAAAATCACCTCTCTCTAGCCCCTCTGAAGTTTAAAAAATATCCAAGGGCGTGAGGTTCATGTCGATCCAAGATTTGTAATGTGACACGCGGGTGAAGACAGCAGGTAGGCCTACATTAGTGCACATCGGAAATCCAAAGCTTACGACGCCGATCTGGGTACACTGCACTCCCGAACACACCACCAGAGGGCCGCCGGAGTCACCCTGGGGAGGAGGGATCGCGGGGATAAAGAATTAATAGGGATGGTAATGATAATGATGATTATGATGATGATAATTATGGTTGTATCAATGATGATTATAATATTGATTATAATGATAGCTACAATGGTGACGATAATAACAATAATGGTAGCAATAACAATGAAAATAATAATAATGATATGAGATACTACTCCCTACTACTACTACTACCACTACTACTACGAATAATAATGATAACGATGTTGAAACCAATATTAATAAAAACAACGATAATGATAATAATAAAAATAATAATCATCATTATCATTATTATCATTATCATTTTTATTACTATTATCATTTCATTATTACTATTACTATTATTATTTTTACTGTTTTTATTATTAATAATAATATTATTATTGTTACTATCATTATCATTGTCATTATCATCATCATCATCATAATTATAAAACAACAATAATAATATAATAGAACTATAACACTATTAACAAAAAGCAAAATACAAAAAAAATACTATAATAATAATACAAATAACATAAAAAAAAACAAAAAAAAAAACTCACAATCTCTCCAATATTAATTCTAAAAAATAAACATTAATAACAAAATCAACGAAATGAAAACGCGAAACGACAGAGACCAAAATGTGTATCACAGAACACGAGCCAAATGCCAACTCTTGAATTTTTTAGAAGGATTTGCCAAGATGCGGACATTTGGTTTCATGTGTTTTATTGTCACGGTGTGTTCAGTTCTGTGCCATTGGAAGTTGATTTTTTTTTTTTTTTTTTTTTTTTTTTTTTTTTTTGTTAACTTGCAGATGTCGAAAGTTTTATTTTTTTTCGTAAGCGGTTTTTTATGGTGCGAAGTTCGTCTACTGTGTGATGTGGTTCTTCTCTTTATCTCTCTCGATCTATCTATCTATCTATCTATCTCTTAGTCTCTTTATCTCTCTATCTCTTAATCTCTATATCTCTCTATCTCTTTCGCTCTCTTTATCTCTGCATCTCTCTCTCTCTCTCTCTCTCTCTCTCTCTCTCTCTCTCTCTCTCTCTCTCTCTCTCTCTCTATCTATCTATCTATCTATCTCTATCGTTATCTGTCTCTATCTCTCTACCTCTTTACCTATCTATCTCTCTCTCTCTCTCTCTCTCTCTCTCTATATATATATATATATATATATATATATATATATATATAGATAGATAGATAGATAGATAGATAGATAGATACACACACACCTATCTCTCTCTCTCCCTATCTCTCTCCCTATCAATCTATCTATCTCTATCTTCTTCCACCTATCTCTCGTCTAACCTCTGCCAAGTTAAAGGTCAGACCTGGTCTATAACTTAATAATCGATGCAAGAACAATCATAACTGTTTCTGATTGAGCGAAATGAAAAGGGAATAATTCAAATTACGACAAATATAAATCAGCTGACAATCACATATGCAACGTGATCTCATGGTGTGACGTCATCATCGAGGAGTTTGTAATGTCGTGCGAATATGAAGATAAAAGAGAGGGGGGGAGAAAGAGAGAGAGAGAGAGAGAGAGAGAGAGAGAGAGAGAGAGAGAGAGAGAGAGAGAGAGAGAGAGAGAGAGAGAGAGAGAGAGAGAGCGAAAGAGAGAGAGACAGTGAAAGAGAGAGAGAGAGAGCGAAAGAGAGAGAGAGAGAGAGAGCGAAAGAGAGAGAGAGAGAGAGAGCGAAAGAGAGTAAGAGAGAGCGAAAGAGTGAGAGAGAGAGAGAGGAAAAAAACAGACAGACAAACAAAAAAAGTGAAGATGAAAGAGAAAAATATTTAGAAAGAGAGCAAACAAGAGAAAACTCACGATGACATTAGTGACAAACAACTTCTTGACTGACAAATTATGTGGCAGACTGACAACCAAACAAAAAATAAATAAATAAAAAAAAACTGACGAGATCGAGACGTTTGAAATTTACAAGCAAGGTCGTTTCATTTTGTTCTTTATGTAAAGGTCACCATTAGATAAA